ACAAGGAACTGAAAATTGGCACTCTTTCACTTCATTGATTAGTGCTTTCTCTATCATACAGCTATCCTACGGTGTAAGTATAACGCCGGAATCATAAGGTGACGTACTTACACTTTAAGCTTATCTTTTAATTGAGAAAACGACATGTACAGTAATTATCAAACTCGTATCCAACAACAAATAAAGAGTGAATTAGATAGCTCAACCGAGATTTATCTACACATTAAACAACTAAATCGACATAAATACAAGCATTAGAAGAAGAAGAAATATTAGAACACCTCACCAGCATGACCGGCAATCTGGCTCCATCCCTCTGAGGCTTTATTACTCAGTGAGTTATTCTTCAGGGGTGTTGAGGACATGGGTGCCAACTCATCCTCCATTTCCTGATCACTCAGCGAATCCTCCTTTTGGTCTGTCATTGTTAGCTGTGGTGTGATTGCGATCCTCCTAGGCAGAATGGACTATGCACTTGTGTTTAACCTGTGTAAATTCAGGTTGTTTGGTAAATGCAGGCTAATTTGTGAGCTATGTACGCTATAAGTAACAAGTATGATGTTATTTACATACTTATGAGATTATGAAGACATTTTGGCACATCCACCAATGTTATAAATTATAAATACTTCCAAGTTCCAACTCTGATATGTTAAGATCGATTGTACAAGTAGACCAATAATAACAACTTTAAAAAGACTATAATTGTCGATATCCATAAAGATAGCGCAGAATTCGATTTATAAGAGCCTATATTTATTATAATAACTCAAAATTTAGAGATAAGTGTGTTAGAGGTTGACCTATGACCATAGCCCAACCGAGCGTTTCATCAATGGTATACTTTATATATTATTATAACAAGATATATCTATTCGCCAATTTAGTACAGAAGGAAAAGACTGGTTAGTGCCTCTACTCTAGAGAGAGAGGACTATTAGACTGCCTTGTGGTTAATAATTAATATCGCAATATTTACCACTCGTATTTTTAATCTTTTTTTTAACTAATTTTATTTTCTTATTTGTTGTTTTTGATTTGTTTTTAAAATAAATTCTCTTTGCTTTTTCCTCACTAGGTGAGCCTGTAAGGGTAGGAAGCGCGTTTAACGCACTTCAATTATTACTATTTTTATACATACTATCTTGTGAGTACTGTCCTTCAATCAAAGATATGAGTGTGCTCGTGATTGCAACGCTTGTCGGGGTGGTTTTGAACTATTATTTACAGCTGTTGTGATTGTGTTACCGTTCTTATCCAGAAATTGTCGGCGAGACGAATGCAGTAGAAGTCTCCCTGTCGATTGTGCTATCGGGGGTGAATGACCCGAGAATATCTCGGTTCATAATCGTCGATTCTTTGCTCGAAAAGAAGTACAAACTCGATGATATCTTCAGAACCGTTTCTGCCGGTGCCACAGGCAAGACTCTGCTTACAGGATTCAATGGTACCTCAACAACTACATTTCCAGTTGTTTCAGCATTTAGTGTCACCTGTGTATTTACCAATACTTCTTGTATCCATTTGGCATAAATTGATATGCGCGTATTTACACCAGGGAAGCCCGGAATGGCACAGCCTCGCCCGTATGAAACGAGGCCCAATATTACGCCGTTGACGAAGGTATGATCACCGCCAAGCTGCATAAGTGGGCTTCCGCTATCCCCCTGTAAGATTGCCATTCGGGTTTGTACATAAGTATCAGTACAAAGTTTGTGCAACTGCAATACCTTAAGCAGTGAGTGAGAAAAGCGGGTTAGGGTATATTACATGCCGTGACTGTGCCATCTTATCAGTACGGTATAGAGAATTTCTACGACAAGACGCTCTATTATAAACTATTTTTGTACAAAACTCGAGAAATTAAGCACTCGAATATGATTCCTACACACCTGACAAGTATCCTTGAAGTTCGCGTAGGTGCATATATGTTTAGATGTTATCTGCTTTGTCCCATATACGGCCGAACACTGTTGATAGGAGGTCGTGCGTACATTCACCACGCGCAGATCGTCGCTCATGTCAATGGAGCCCTGTAGTTGTACACCGTAACCAAGGTAAAACACCTCCTGTTTAAACGCAGGTATGGTAACATCTGCATTGATTCTTGGAGTTTTGATACCAACTGCCGGTGTTGTTAACTCGACAAGACAAATATCGTTTTCGGATGTCGATGAATCGAAATCAGGATGGCATACGATTCGTTTAAGCTTAGATTCGTGTTTGAATATTATGTCGTCTTGAATCCGAGCTTTGCCGAGCAGAACAGTATGCGAGAGATAGGTGTCGTTTAACTTGTAGATATTGAAACAGTGAGCAGCAGTCAGTACCCACTTGGCCGATACAAGAATTCCGCCACAATAATGCGAATTCTCCGCTTCTAAATTGTTGATGGATGCCATCCATTCCACTGCCTCCCCTAATACAGAACCTCCCACTACACGGGCTTGTACAGTATATCCATCTTCATAGACAGCCCTTGCAATTATTTGTGGAACTCCTAGGAAAAATACGAGGTATACAAACTTTATGGTGCTGCGTATATACTCGCATATGCACGTCATTGTGTCATGTGTAGTTGACCACTTGGAAACTGTCTATTTAATATTTAACATCATGAATGGATAGACACATGCTACACTTAGATATGAAGTCTTGACCCTGTCCACAAAAAAAAAAGAATCACAAATATTTACTTTTTTTGAAACTGCTGAATCTTAGCCATCGAGATCACTATATATATGTGCATAAATTTTATATATGCACTTATAATATTGCCCCGGCAATCAGTAGTCAGTGTCTCAGGCACATTCAACGATATGGAACGAAGGTATGGTATGTATCCGAACCCCTCTGAGTTGCTAAATAAATATGTAAATATTCACATTCCAGCGTTCCGGCTCCGCAGTCCGCACTATGTAAAACGTTTTTAATTTTTTTGCTTTTTTTGGGTACAAAAACAAAAACAACCCAAAAACAAAAATGCTGTATTTAGACTGTACTCTACTAGACCGTGTATCTTGTTTTTTTTTTAAATAGCATGAGCATTCATGAGCAACTTTATTATGACACACAGGTCTTTATTTGGTACAATTGAAGGCTATGTTATTTAGAAATAAATTAGTACATAAAAGATGTAGTGTACAAATAAATACAAATTAAGCAGAAAATTGAACAAAAAAACCCCTATTTGTATCAGTTTTTTATAAAAATAGAAAAACTCTAAGGTACAGTATTTTTTTATATATATCTAAAAACTGTACTGTCTTCAGTTCTATAAATATGTATTTATTATTAAAATACAATATTAAAATTTGTATTTATTCAGTACAGACTTGAGACTACGGAGTGTTAGAAAGTATTTACAATTTTGTTTTGTTTTTTATTACAAAAACTACATATTTATTCCTTGTATGCATGTATTCAAATATTTAGAAACTTTTGTATTGTTCAAATTTGTTGTTTCTTTTAGAAAAATTCAAAAATATAAAATACACCCGAAAACAGAAGAAAAAACCACCGTAAATATTGAATATTTAGGTCGTGGAGTCGTGGTGAGTGGAGACTCTCGTGGGGCCGTGGGCCTAAATACATACTATATTTTTTCTCAAGTGTAAAAAGTAAAAACATATTTACGGCCCACAGCCCCACGGCGTCACGGCCCCACTGCTCCACGGCCCCACGCCTAACAGGCCAGAGCCCACACTTCCACAGCCGCGGGCCCACAGGCTGCAGCCTAAGCCCCAGGGGCCAGAGCACACCACAAGTAGGCCACCTGGCCAGATAGGCTGAAGGCCATTGCCTTCTGCTGGCCTGTGTGTATTTTTATAAAATAACTTTTTTGTTTGTTTTCATCAGATTGCAATGATAAAATAATATAATTTTTATTGTTTTGTTCATTTTTTAAAAACAAACAAATGTTTCACAAATGTTATCATTTATGGGTTATTTTTTAATAAAAATATAACAAAAAGTATACTGTATTATTATTTCAAAAAATACAATTTATACAACTATACATATTACATAGACTTTGTCTAAACAACACCCGTCACTATAAAATTATATATGAACAGAGTGATATTATTTTGAATTTATGTTCTAAAAACAAAATGCGGTTAATACTGAAATCACAGAACAGGACAAAATTCCTTGGACCTGAAATTTACAACAGAACTGGACAAACCCAAATTCAACATTGGTGAACCAATTGCAATTGTGCAAACCAAACGCATATTTTACATATTTAGCCTTCTTTTCTTCTCTTGTGTATAGTTTGGAAGGCTATGAAACGATATTTTCTTATATTATTCAGAAGTATGGATCCACGAATTCACGCTCACAGGTTTTTATAGAATATTGGCTCTCTCACTAGTCTGAAGCATTGTATTCTATTTCAGGTTCTAGGTGTAGATTGTGTACCGAAAACTGATACCCGACTGTTGTATCGGTAAAGATACTTGGACCAAAGTTGCCATACGTGGGCCCATAAATATCGAACCTACCTTTGCGAATGGACCGGATGCGGTATTGGACACGAGCTCAGGCGTTAATAATTTTTTATAGTGACGATCTTTATTACTATTTGTTTTAAAACAATAGATAAAAAAGTGTAAAATAGTTTTTTCACTAAAATCAAACACAAAACAGTTACAAATAAATACTTCTGAAGACTGAAGACTGAAGTTCTGAAGTAACATTTCAACATTTACTAAACCAATGGCTATATGAGGATGTTAAAATATTCTACGTCTCAGAAATGTCGCTTTTGAAATTTAGCCATTCACACTTCACAACAATCGAGACAACCCCGCCACTTGAGTGTAAAAGACACTCGCATGAGCTGATGAGTGTTGAACCCTGCTGATGTGCGCACCACTACCCACTCACAAATCACAACTACGAGTCTACGACTCAATGTCCTACAAGGCTACGACTCCGAGAGTCCGACGTCTCCCCCACTTACCCCCAGGGCCCCGGGGGCCCCTAATGTGGACTGTACAGTGTACAGTGTACACTGTGCAGTCAGCACTCTCAGGCACTTGGCACTCAAGAGGGGAGTGTGCAGTTGCTCAATGCTCTGTGTGCAGTCGGTCCAGACTCCAGACTTCAGACTCCAGACTCCAGCCAGACTCCTCACTCCAGTCACCACTCAGGCACCCACCACTTACCGTCCAGTGGTCCACTGAGTCAACTGACAACTCGCCACTTGGCCTTCGGTGGCACTCACCACTGTCACCACTCACCACTCACCTCCAATGCCACCATTGCGACACTCACACGACCCTGCCCCCAGGGCCCAGAGCCAGGCATCCGCGTCTCTGCATCAGGGCGTCAACAAGAGAGTATTTACCCACTGCCTACTCTATGAGTCCATTGTTCCATCATTCATCAATCCATATTTTCCTTGACCGTGCTCGACGCGCTACGGTGACTTACTGACTATATTTACCGTGTAACTATGTAGTGACTGTTAGACTGCGTGTGACACTGATTTAAAAAATCAAAATTAACCATATCTGTCTCATTTTGCAAATTTGAAGCCTGAAACAGTGAAACTTAAAAGTTTTGTCCTACTGACTTGTCCGTTCTCCCTCATATTTTTACCTTTCATTCTATTAAGGTGGTCATGAAGTTTTAAGAAATATTCGAATAACTCGGAAACTGACGTGGATGTATGTATTTACGAGTATTTATCTGGTATGTATCATCATCACATCATTTACCATATTGTAAATTTTAGTGTTTTAGACATAGCATTCTATGAATACATACAGAGTTTATACTTTAGACTCGAGCACTTGAGTAGTTGAGTACTTGAGCACTTGAGCATTCCCTCAAGTCTCCACTCTCCACTGTTTCTCCCGTCTCTCTTCCCAACTCTAAAAAAAATTAGAGCGGACGAGTAATATCTGGTTTTGTTATCAAGGGAACTTGGTTTCCAAGATTCTTCCGCTCTACTTAAAGTCTATATTGTGATGTACAAATACAAATAGTCTGAACTCTGAAGTCCCTCTCTTTCTAGTACTGTCTCTCTCTACTGAGAGAGAGAGGGAGTAGAGACTAGAGATTAGTCATTAGAGAGAGAGTGTGTGTGAGTGAGTGAGTGAGAGACTTCACTGGCGACTGGACCCACTGATGACTGGACTCACTGGAGTCCAGACTCTGTAGAGCGAAGAGATATAGTATCAGACTATCAGAAGAATACTGAAAGCGTCAGGAGTCTCTTGAATCTGAGAGGAGAGATATAGCCTAATAGAATTTATCAGTAAAAATGAATGAGGATCTCACAGTATCATCTTCAACTGCATAGATAGGAACGGCTGGATTCCGGGGACTATCCACTTTATTGCTGACAATGATGACACATGGTGTACATATAACACAGTGATTCACAACCACTCCAAGCTAACAGACGCCCATAATGTTGTTGGCCAGCCTAGTGGCGTCAGCCTCAGAACTAAACCTAACTCGCATTCCTTTTTGAGTTGTTAGCTTATTTGCGACTGGCAGACGCAGAAATCTTGTAGTGTAGACAAATAGGTCACCTACTGAAAATCCATAGCCTCACTGCTATTACCACCAAAAAAGAACAGCACTACCAACTAAATCATTAAATAAATTTATTTTCATTATTGCACATCCAAGTCAACGTCTAGCACTCGTGCGCACATCCATACACATGCAAGTATACCACCCCACCCAGCCCATTTCTGGAGAGTGTAGGCGTACACACTAGCAGGCATGCCGTGTATATGCAGGTACTCAAGCCGTTTTGGTTTGTATGCGACTTTCAGATAATATTAGATTGATATACATAATAATAATAGCCTATTCAGCAAACCTGGATAGTATTCTGGTTTGCGCGTTGTGACTTTGCGCTCCTGTCCTTACATGCACCTGCTGCAGATTGTGCTGAAACTACGGTCTAACACTGCGACCGATATGCTGCTAGTGCATTTAAGGGCTGAACCTGCGTGTCTACAATTGAGAACTAAAGTTTACGCTCCATTGTTAAAAATAGCACAATCCCCCAGGTGTAAACCTGACGTAGAGGTAAACTCGGTGTATGATGTGAAGTGAGCGCTCAGCTCACTTGGTTCCACCGATAGCCTGCACATGTTAAAAAATATTGGGCTTCTAACCGCTTGTGTGGGTGGGCGGATGTATTTGCGTTTGGATGTGGTAGATCGGTGAACCCCCAACACACGAGGAGATGGTACGAGACTACAGGATTACGTTAAGCCAGTATGTGTATAGGATAGGGACGTCGAGTAAGTTGCAGTCCTCTCTGGCCCCTATAGAATCCTCGTTCCATGTCTAACAAAAACTGCTGTTATTTCCACCCACGCCGTTCAGCTGAAGCGATACTTGACCTGCCACGAACACCAGTCGCATAGTACGACCTACTACCCAGTTATCCATATCATCATGGCGCTCATCAGCCATATGTGAACTTATTGGCACGATGTGGTGCAAAAGTGCGTAAAGCCGCGGACATGAAGGTCAGTACACCTAAGTACACTTAACGTATGTACACCAATTTACATGCACACCTCCCGAGCTCCCAAGACATCACCACCCCACTCAGGCCGAGATGTGACCATGTAAACCCCCACGATAACCATCGGCGTCCAATGATGTGCTGGATACCTTCATATTGTCTACATTCCCTGTGAGAAGCTTTATCACAGACAACGTATCGACTACAGTTCCTTCCGCAGCACACAACCTGTCCTCCACAAACGCCCACTCAATCTAGTGTGCATAAGCGCGCATCTCCATTTCCATCTCCAGAAATCGCAGGGCTACTTGCGCGGAGCTCGAGTGTTATGCATACGTCACTGCTTGCGCTGGCTAACACTGCCAGTACCCAAATCTGAGCACCCCATCTCTTCGCGGGGTGTCTGCGCATCTGGCAAGCACCTTGGCACGAGTAGAAGGTCTGTTGGATGCTGCCCTCAGCCTGAGTTTAGTCGCCGACACACATATGCACACACTCGATCGTCTCTGGAGACGTCTCACAGCACCGACAGATTTCTAAACTAAGCCTGAAATATAACTCAGTACGGCCCGTGCAGGCCATCGGCGTTCTGGATCTGTGCACAACATCTTTTCAAGAAGTGTCTGTACATCCCACGAGAAGCTCTGCCATGTGCGTGAGGTCTGTTTGATCTTGCCCTTGGCGTATGCATCGTACCGCTCATTTTTGCTGGCGGCACGCTTCCAGGGGAATCTGGAAAGGATAGTGAATATCGAAGTCTTTTCAGTTGAGAATATATCTATATATATATGATATATATATATATATATATATATACAATATATATATCATATATATATATAT